GGGAGCATAATGTTTTCTTTAAGCAATCGACTGGTCTCTGTGTCATCAATCCCGGAACCCTCACCACATTCTTGGATACAGACTGCTCAGCGGGCGTGGCATGGGTGGGTTTGCTTCCTTCAGCTGTGCTATTAATTCTCTTGCATGACAGTTCTCCAGTTTCTTCCTGTGGGCACTTCGTGCTATGAACTTTCATCTCAGCACTGATTTCAGAGTGTCCCATATGTTTGGGTATGTTGTGTCTTCGTTCTCCTTGAATTCCAGGAAGTCTTTAATTTCTTTTTTTTTATTTCTTCCTTTATCCAGTGATGGTACACTTGTGCATTGTTCAATTTCCATGAATTTGTAGGATTTCTGCGATTTGTATTATTGTTGAATTCTAATTTTAATACATGGTGGTCTGATAAGATACAGGGGGTTATTCCAACTTTTTTGTATCTGTGGATGTTTTCTATGTTTCCTATTATGTGGTCAATTTTAGAGAAGGTTCCATGTGGCACCGAGAAGAAGGTATATCCCTTTGTGTTTAGGTGGAATGTTCTATAGATGTCTGTTTAACCCGGTTGGGTCATAACTTCTACTAGTTCTTTTGTTTCTTTATTAAGTTTCTGTCTGGAGGACCTCTTTAGTGGTGAGAGCGGAGTGTTGAAGTCTCCTACTACTAGTGTGTGAGATTTTATGTGAGATTTGAGCTTTAGTAATGTTTCTTTCATGAATGTGGGTGTCTTTGTATTTGGGGTATAGATGTTTAAAATTGAGACTTATATCTTGATGGACTTTTCCTTCGATGAATATGAAATGTCCTTCTTCATCTCTTTTGATTGATTTCAATTTGAAGTCTAGTTTTTTAGATATTAGGATTGCTACATCCACTTGTTTTTTGGGTCCGTTTGATATCTTTTCCCAGCCCTTTACCCTGAGATATCGTCTGTCTTTGATGTTGAGATGTGTTTCTTGTATGCAGAAGTATGTGGTCTGTCTTTGTATTCATTCTGCTAGTCTGTGTCTTTTTACAGGCAAGTTGAGACCATTGACATTGAGGGATATTAATGGCCATTGATTGATGATTCTTGTTTGTGCTTGATTTATTGGCAGTGGAGTTATTCCTTTTTCTTTCAGTGTTTGGTAAAGTGGGATTATCTATTGCCTGTGTCTTTGTGAGTGTAGCTATCTTCCTTGGGTCTGGGTTTTCCTTCTGGGATGTTCTGTAGAGCTGGATTCATGGATACATATTGTTTAAATCTGGCTTTGTCATGGAATATTTTGTTTTCTCCATCTATGGTAATTGAAAGCTTTGCTGGATATAGTAGTCTGGGCTGGCATCCTTGTTCCCTAAGTGTTTGTAGGACTTCTGTCCAGGATCTTCTGGCTTTCATAGTTTCCATTGAGAAATCAGGTGTAATTTGGATAGGTCTGCCTTTATATGTTACTAGGCCTTTTTGTTTAGCTGCTCTTAATAGTTCCTCTTTTTTTCTGTAGGTTTGCTCTTTTTATTATTATGTGGCAAGGCGACTCCTTTTTCTGGTCCAGCCTATTTGGTGTTCTGTTAATACTCTTGTATTTTCATAGGCATATCCTTCTTTAGGTTAGGGAAGTTTTCTCTATGATTTTGTTAAATATGTTTTCTGTACCTTTGAGCTGTATTTCTTCGTCTTCTTCTATACCTATTATTCTCAGGTTTGGCTTCTTCACGGTGTCCCATATTTCCTGGATATTTTGTGTTAGGGATTTGTTGGTTTTGAGATTTTCTTTGGCTGATGACTGTGTATTCTTTAATGAGTCTTCAACACCTGAGATTCTCTCTTCTATCTCTGGTATTATATTGTTGATCCTTGCATCTGTAGTTCCTGATCATTTGCCCAGCTTTTCTATTTCCAGCATCCCCTCATTCTATGTTTTGTTTATTATTTCTATTTCAGCTTTCAATCCTTCAACAGTTTGAATTTTTTCCTTCATTTCTTTGGTTGCTTTTTTCTTGGTACTCTTTAGATACTTTAAGGGATTTGTTTATTTCTTGAAATTTTTGGTTCATCTTTTCCTCCATTTCATGTATTTTTTTTTTGTTTTTTTCTTCTATTTCTTTAAGGGATTTCCTCGTTTCCTCTGCGAGGGTCTCTATCATCTTCATAAAATAACTTTTAAGGTCTCTTATGCTACATCTATGTAGTGCTTTTCAGGTCTTGCTGGCATTGGGTCTCTAGATTGTGGTGGATTCATGTTGGTCTTTCTATTGCTGAGTGAGCTCTTATTCTGTCTCCTTCCCATCTCTTCTTCCAGTGGGTGCAGGTGGGGTCTTTCTCTCTCCACTAGTCTACTTCTTTCCTGAAGCTGAAGGTGGGGATGCTGGAGGGTGGGGTCTGGAAGGACTGAGGCCTTTCCAGTGTGGGCTGGTCATCTGGGTGCCAGGAGTGGGGCTCCAGAAGATCGAGGGAGTGGTTGATGGGTGGGCGGTGGTCCCAAAGTGACCCAAGCTGACCTGAAGCTAGGGATGCTGAAGAAGAGTGGGGTCTGGAAGGATTGAGGCCTTTCCTTTGTGGCAGATCCTCTTGAGTTTAAGAGTTTTGTGGGGATCCTTCCCCCTCGCAGAAGCCACAGTTGCCACAGCTGAATCCGTGATGAAATACTCTTACAAATGTAACTTAATGGAGAAAAGGTTTATTCTGGCTCACAGTTTGAGGGCTTACCAGCATGGTGTGGAAAGCCTGGCTGCAGGGGCTTGACAAATCTGCTCACACTCTATCCATAACCAGAAAGCAAAGAATGCCAATGTCCAGATAGCTTTTTCCTTTTTATACAATCAAGAAACCCAGGCATAGAATGGAGTCAGAGAAAATAGGGGATGGGAGGGTAGGAGGGAGGGAGGAAGGATAACCTAACTTAACCTAATCCTTCACAGGCATGCCGAAGTGATTTCTCTCCTAGGTTATTCAAGATCATGTCAAGTTGATAATATTAACCATCACAAGGTGTTTACATTTAACTGAACTCTTTTAGTGACTTTAAAATTATGCTTTTTGTTTTACACATTTCCTCTTCTCCTGAATTCGTATGGATTAATTATTTCTTTTAATGATGTATTAATAAATCATTCACACTTTTCTGCTATATTCCTTTGCAGTACTTAATTCTGGGATTGAATGTTTGACAAAATCTTTGGTTTTGTTTTGAGATAGAATTCCACGTAACCCAGGCTGTCCTTTAACTCTTTATGTAGCTAAACATGACCTTGATCATCTACTCGCCTCCTAGTCTCAAGTATTGGGATTATAAATGTGTGGCAATAAAGTATGAAAAACAGTAGTTTCGTTTACCCCTTCCATGCCCAAATGCTTAGTTATGCCAGGACGACAGTTGTCATTTCCCAATATGAGGCTGCAAATTTTGAGTTAAAAAGAAAAACTCCAATTGCTTATGTTGGCTATAAAATCACAACTCCTTAAAATACCAAAAGTCCAATCTCAAACGTGATACTTCATGTTACTCTGCAAACTGTATCTGTTGTGCTGACTGACATTGAGTTTGTCAAATACATAATGGTAGAATTACAGTTTTTCTTCCACGTGAAAGCAAAGTATTGCAATCGCTGTACTTGACTGCAGTATGTTGCACATAAAATGAAGTAAAAACTCTTCAAACCCCTGAGGCTGGCACTTACCCTAATGATGGGACAAGATTATCTGAGGAACACCTAATAACTCAAAAAAGCTCCAGAAATACTTCACTCGGAGACTGTTAGCACCTTCAATACATCTAAATCCTCATAGCTAAATGAGAAAGCCCTAGGAAGAAGGTCTTAATTCCTGTCATAGGAATATATTCCCTATTGAGGGACCAAAAATTAAAATAAAAGGTTAAAAACTTGGGCCCTAAATCTATACAGAGAAAGGGAACTTGTAATGGCAAAGGAAAATTTAACTCCTTGAATCAGGAGTGCCATGTCTAGGGCCTGAGACCCTGCTCTCAAAGTAGGGGAGGTAAGTTTCAAACCACTCCGGTTAACATTCCTTTGCTAATTACTGGTCATAAAGGTCCCCTGCCAGTTGCAAAGATTCCCCAGCTCAGGGGATAGCTGACAGAACTTATGACCCTGTAACCCTGCAACCCCATGCCCTGTCTTTTTTTTTTTTTTTTTTTTTTTGAGACAGGGTTTCTCTGTGGCTTTGGAGACTGTCCTGGAACTAGCTCTCATAGACCAAGATGGTCTCGAACTCAGAGAGATCCGCCTGCCTCTGCCTCACAAGTGCTGGGATGAAAGGAGTGCACCACTCCCACCCAGCTTGTCTTTTTTTTTTTTTTTTTGGTCCATGCCCAGTCTTATCTAACTCAAATGTATCTTGCTTAAAATACATAGTTACTGCTCCAGTGTGTATGATCTAAAGTAACCATGGAAACCCTGAAATTTTTGACCTTTAACCTTATGGTCTGCCCCTTTAAAAGCTTCTATTTTTGGCTTGAACTATAAATGAAACTTTTTGCTTTTACATCAAATTGTTAACTTCTTTGGGTTACTCTCTGGGCTCTGGGAACCTAGCATGATACCATGACTACTAGCAGAAAGCCACTTTCCGGGAAAGGAGATTTTTATTTTATTATTTTATTATCTTTATTTATTTATTCGTTTATTTGGTTTTTCGAGACAGTGTTTCTCTGTGGCTTTGGAGGCTGTCTTGAAACTAGCTCTTGTAGACCAGCCTGGTCTTGAACACTGCCTCTCGAGTGCTGGGATTAAAGGTGTGCGCTACCACCGCCAGGCTGGGAGGTTATTTTTCATTAAGGTCGTTCACACCACAAAGCCTGTTCCATTTTTGATCGGTGACATTATTTCCATGCACAGCTAGCGGGGAACCCGGGAGCTGTAATGCAGACACTCATTAGCTGGAGTCCACGTCCTGGATTCTCTTTGAGGCTGCACTGCCGGGGGCGCCCACTCAGGGCGCTGGGAAGGAAGGACGCCCAGGATCTGCGGAAGCCCCAGCAGCCGCTTCGGAAGAGGAAGGATGTACGTAGCACTGCGCCGGCGCAATGACGTCTCTGTGGGACGAACCAATTGAAGGGAGGCATGGGCGGGCTGTGGCGAACCAACTTCCGGTTCCGGTGAGCTCAATGGTCTTCTAAGCGACGTGTCTCTCTGTCTTCTCCAACCGACTTCCCGCAGGTAAGGGTTTGGTGGCTTCCTCCCGGGCGCTGGGGCGGGCGGGCGAGCGGCCGGCCGGGAACTCAGGGGCTCAGCTGAGCGGGCCTGGGGAGGACGGGAATGCGGGGTGGGTGCAGGGCTGTGGTGCGGACGCGCTGCGAGGACGAGGGCGCCGTCCCACGGAGGAGCCTGGCGCCCGTGAGTGCAGGGTGGGCCCCTGTCGGCTGGGGCCGGCTCGCGGACGCGGAGCTGCCCCGAGCGCCACTCACCCGTGCACGCCACCAAACCCAGGCGCGGGGCCTCCCTGGGTGGCCCCGGGTGGAAGTATACCCGTCTACAGGAAGGTTCCCGCACACGAGCTGATCCGGGGCTCAGCCTTCTCGCAGAACATCGTCTCCTGCGGCTTCCGGAGCCTGCTGGCCCGCACCTTTCAGTGCGCTTGTCTTGTGAAATTGTGTTCAAGTCTAGTTGGCCAGGAGTCTGTGTCAGGAGGTCGCTGAGGGGACTAGCGGCCCTCCGTTACCGCCGAGCGCAGTGATTTGTCTGGCGTGGGTTTTAGGGAGGCTGGATTTCGAGGACAACTAAGTGAAACACTGAGAAACCAGGCATTCCTTTGCTTTTGTGTCAAGCTGTGGGTGGATTTCTTAGTGTGTGTGCCTTCACTGTATCGGCTATTGCCCACGGCGCATGACTCAGATAAGGAAACTGGGGCTCTCAGGGTTGTCTTATAATTGAATAACATTCCTGTTAATTAAAGGAGTCTCAAAAGAACCTTAAAATGTTCAAAACTAAATATTTAGCTGGAGGCATTTCAGAGTCTGGATCTTGCCTTTTTTGTTTTTTTTGTTTTTTTTTTTTTGTTCTCTAGAACGTTGGTTCATGGTCTGTCCATCCTGTAAAATGTACTTTTACTTAAATATATGGCCATGATTTCTAGCAAATAGATTAGAACACACTTTTGCACAGGGTCTGTCTACACCATAGTTGGAACTCCTATAGCAGATACTAAGTTTTCAACAGTTTCAACTTTAGAAACTTTAGTTACTGGTTTCCTATAAGGAATAGTGAGAACAATGTAATTGGTAGGAAAGGGACCTTTTGTTGCTTAACCTTATAATAGAGAGCTTCCTTTAATGAATGTGAGAACCTTTGCCAGTGAGGATAACATTGGTAAGATGTGTGCTTCCTTGTCTCTAGTCTCGTGCTTTCTTGAATATGAAACACACACACTATATTTAAGCTTTTCTTTATGAATTGAATTCACCATTTCTCTCTTACCTCCGTTTATAACTCAACAAGTCCTAATATTTGAAATAGTTCTAATGAGTATCATGTTTCCCTTTTTTTTTAAGCACGTCAGTCATGGACCAGGTAATGCAGTTTGTTGAACCAAGTCGGCAGTTTGTCAAGGACTCAATTCGGCTGGTTAAAAGATGCACCAAACCCGATAGAAAAGGTAATAATATCTTTACCATGAGAGAAAACAGTAAATCTTGGCATTTTCTAAGTCTTGTGTTACATACATCTTTTTGTTTTTTTTTTTTTTTTTTGTTGCTGTTGTTCTGTCTTTCCAGACAGGATTTCTCTTTAGCTTTGGAGCCTGTCCTGGAACTCGCTCTTTAGACCAGGCTGCCTTGGACCCACAGAGATCCTCCTGCCTCTGCCTCCCAAGTGTTGGGATTAAAGGCATGCGCCACCAACACCTGGCTCACATCTTCTGATCAATCTTTGCAGGGCTGGATATCAGCTCAATCATAAAATGCCACTATGCACACCACTGAAAGGACTGTGAGTGGATGTCACCACCATTGCCCTTTCTCTATGTCCTTAGCCAGAACTGGTTAAAGCTTTGTTTCATGATATGAAATTATTAAGTGTAGTTATTATAACCTAGAAAGTTTAATTTGCTTTCTTATGTCATAGCTTAAAAGATACACTAGACTTGTTCTGTTTTATCATGAATTGACTAGGTTAGAATTTAAGGCACATTTAATGGAGTAATATATTATCTTAGGGTTAGTATTGCTGTAATAAAACACTATGACCAAAAACAGTTTGGGGAGGAAAGGGTTTAATTACATATCTTGACTCACAGTCCATTGAAGGAAGCCAAGTGAGGAACAGGGCAGGAATCTGGAGGCAGGAGCTTGATGCCTTGGCTGAGGACAGGTGCTGCTTACTGGCTTGTTCCTCATGGCTTGTTCAGCCTGCCTTCTTATAGAATCCAGGAATACCAGCTCAGGGGTATCCCCACCTAAAGTGGGCTAGGTTCTCCCCCATCAATCACTAATTAAAAATGCACTACAGGCTTGTTTGTCTATAGCTGGATCTTATAGAAGCATTTTCTCAATTGGAGTTCCCTTCTCTCATATAACTAGGTTGTGTCAAGTTGGTTTAAAACTAGCTAACACAGATCAGATACCTAAATAAAATAATAGATACTGGTCATTATTCTTGTGAAGCTGTGAGTTTGTCAGGGAAGGTCATCCAGTAATTGCAGCTGCACATTTTGCTTCTTGCCTTGATGGGTATGAAGCAAGATAATGAGACCTGGTAGCACATAATAGGAGAACTAGGTAAGGCAGTCAGGGAATGTGTCCTTAGGAGATAGAATATACCAGAGTTGTAAGTTATTTTGAAACTGCTGACCTTGAATTTTCAATCCTCACCTTTTACTTCATCATAGTATTAAAGACAAGAGGTTTTTGGTAATGTACCCAAAGCTACAAGAATAACAAATACTTTTGGTGTTGATGAACTTCGTGAGCATAGCATTTTCATTTCTGTGTTTCTTTAAAATATCAACAAAGTAATTTAAAAATCTGTAAGTCAAGCATTGAACTATTATTACTCCACTTTTTCTTCATTTTTAAAATTAATGTACCTACCAACCAAAGTGTATGCTGGTAACTTTATTAACATTACTGATAGCTTTTCTTCATATTTTCAGTGTCTACAACAAAGTTAATGCAGATTTTATGTTTTATCTTCAGAGTTCCAGAAGATTGCCATGGCTACAGCCATAGGATTTGCTATCATGGGGTTCATTGGCTTCTTTGTGAAACTGATCCACATTCCTATTAACAACATTATCGTGTAAGTAACTATAAACTCGTCTGTTTAGCAATGACTGCAATGAAGCCATTTGAGGTGCAGACTAGCGCATCTCATTAATGTACAGATATGACTCTGGGTATTTAAATAATGTTCTAATATTGTGTACCTAATAATACTTTCAACTTTCAAAACACTTTTATATTTAACAAAATCGTTACAGCAGCTTCTTAGCCAGGATTTTTATTTAATAAAGTTTTCCAGTATCAAACTAAATTAAAGGCACACTGTGTCACTGCCAAGTATTCAGTAACAGACTACATTCATAAGAAGCCCTGTTTGTCTTGATTCTTTTAAGGTGCAGAAAACTGATGCTTCATCTGAAAATCCCCATTTTGGTAGAAATCTGACAGAACCAGATTGCCTACATCTTTTTTCTTGTTGCTTAGTATATGTCGTGACCTTGGGCAGTTTAATTAACTATTTTGTGTGAGGACAGAAATTCTTTTTTTGGTTTTTCGAGACAGGGTTTCTCTGTGGCTTTGGAGGCTGTCCTGGAACTCACTTGGTAGTCCAGGCTGGTCTCGGAACTCACAGAGATCCGCCTGCCTCTGCCTCCCGAGTGCTGGGATTAAAGGCGTGCGCCACCAATGCCCGGCTGAGGACAGAAATTCTTACTTGAATTATATTACAGGTTAATGACTTCAGAAATCGTGTAAGACCTTAAGAAAAATACCCAGTGGATAATTTGTTATTGAATCATCGCTGTTATTGGCAGGGTGTTTATAACCTTTGGGTATGTAACAAAGGAGAGAAGGATGAGCGAAATTATTCCACTGTATTTTTTTGCCATATGCTTTTACTCTTAAAATTCATTGTAGGTCATTGGGGCATATTGCGCCATAGAACAGTTAAAGAAACCTATATTTATTTACAAATTGAGTTTAGTTGAAGGTCTTGGTATGAATTTCAACACATGCTCATGTAGTTCAGCACATGTAGTTTGTTTGTTAAGTGTGTACATGTGTTGGGGTATGTACATGTGAGTGCAGTGCTCAAAGGACGTTGAATTTCCTGGAGCTGAAGTTACAAGCAATTGTGAGTTGCCTAGAGTGGTTGTTTGGAACTGAACCCCAGTCCTATACAAGAAAATGCATGCTTTTAATGACAGCCAGCCAACTCTCCAAGTTCTTCCATAGTCTATAATTTTTAAAAATAATTTGTTTAATTTTATTTTATGGGTATTGGTATGAGGGTGGCAGATTTCCTGGAACTGTCTTAGAGACAGTCGTGAACTTTGTGAACTCCTATGTGTGTGTTGGGAATTGAACCGGGATCCTTCTAGAGGATAGTCAGTGTTTTTAACCACTGAGCCTTCTCTCCAGCCCTGAGTAGTCTATAATTTTATAGTCATAATGTTTTAGCCTCCTCTTCAATTTGGGATGGTAAAGTGCAAATCTAGGAAACTCCTTAATTTTATAGTATCTTCACTACTAAGTATTTTACTGCTAATATTGGTTTTTTACATTTCATGTAACTATATGCATGCTGTTGGGTAACACATAGGTATACTTTTGCATGATAAAAAGTTTTATCTAGGGTTAAGGTGTGCCTAAAATCATCCAACTTTGGGGTGGAAAGTCAGGGGCAGGAAGATTGCTGCCTGGGCTGCAGAGTGAATCCGTATATCAAAACAACATAGAATGAAAAAAAAAAGCTGGAAGGAACTAAGTCATATACTCTTGTCTGTCCTTTGAGAATCCCCATTTGTATTACTAACGAGAGATGCAAACTTTGGAATTGTGGAATCTTGGAGAGATTTCTGAGGTAGAAACCTGAGCCTGATTGTGGGCCTCAGTTGTCTTCTCAGTGGGGAAGAAGTGCTTTCGCTTCTCAGGTGAGTGAGCTTATCTCGCCTCACATCGCTTCGTGACCAGGATGTTCATTTGTGTGAAGGTTCTTTAATGCTATACCCTTAACTTTGCCCTCAGTAACAACAAATTAAGTTGTGTTGGCTTTTTTGGGGACAGAGGGCTGTTTTTTTCTCTCCCCCCCAACATTCACTTACTTGGCAGAAAGCTTTTATCTTTCTTGACAGACTTCAGTGAGCTTGGGTCATCCTTTGATATATGTGTCTGTCATATTAAGATTGTGAGTTTTGAGGCAGACCTGTTACTTATCTGATTGTATACTTTTTTTTCCTTCTTCTGCCATCAGTTTCCTAAAATATTTTATTTCTAAACTTTACTTATTTCAACATAAATATTTTTCACTATAAACAATCAAATCTAATAATAGAAAGTAATTAGTTTGTTTTTCTTTTTGACACTGACATTTTGGTTTATAGGAAAAAGATGTTCTTCTGTTATAATCTTTTGGGCTACTATAACAAAATGCCCAACACTGGGTAAATTGGAGACAACAGAAATTTATTTCTTACTGAAATGTAAATTTATAATGCTGTAGTGAGTTCGTATCTGGTGAGGGCTAGACATTGATCCTTGCATCCGAGTTTTCATTTGTTAAGTGGGACAGGACAGTAACATTAGAGGCCATGAGAAGAGACTTTTATAATGGTGCCAGTCTAACTGAGAGTAGATATGCATACACACGTGTGAACACACGAAGATAGATTGGTATTTATGTAGATATTAAGAACAATGAATAAATATTAGCTCAATTAAGTAAATGACTTGATGTCTTTATCCTTTTCTAGTAAACATAGGCATAATTGCCTTTGCTGAGATCTTGTCCTGTTTCTGTTTTTGTTAAATGTGAATCAACTCATGTAATTCTCAGGAAGTAACTTGAGTGACTCATAAGTGCTAGAGCAACACAGGAAACTTTTTTTTTGCTAGCTAGCTACTTGATGATTTTTTTGCAGTTAAAAAATTTGCTACTTGGAAAGCCTTTTTTGTAATTAAAAATTGTTTTGTTGTTTTACAAGTTATTTACCACTTAATATTTTCCTCCCAAAATATTTTTTTTGTTGTTGTTGTTGCTGTTGCTTTTGGGTTTTTTTGGTGGAGGTGGGGAGGAAACTGCAGAAACCACACTTCACTTCCCGTGTTACACTGCAATAGGTATGAGATAGAAAGAACTTGTTTAGGTGTTTGAAATGATGTAAGTCATTCAGAGAGGATGGCAAGAAAAATAGACTGCAACAGACTCATTAAATTGGATTATAATCTCATTTTTCTCTCATGATGAATTTTTTAGGGGTGGTTTTTTTTGTTTGTTTTACAATTGTACTCAAAATTAATGTATGCAATCCTGTTATTTAAAGGAGTAAGGATAAAGTGTTAGTAACTTACTGCAGTGTAACTTCATAACATGAAATAACAGTAAGATGTATACATGGGTATATAATTTTTATCTAGCAATGGGATTATTTTTTTTAGTTGGTATTGCACTACTAAAGTAATTATTAATTCTTTTAAATGTAGGAGGTCAACTGTGGAATGTTGGTTTTGTTTATTCTTGAGTCTTTTTGATGTAGCCCAATAGTTGAGAACAGTGGTGCTCAACTGTAGTCTTGACATTTGTTTTTAAACTGGTTTCTTACTTGCATGTCATGTAAAATTGAAAAACTTCTTGTGTAATTAATGTGTTTTGTTAGTTTAGAAAGACATGTCAGAATGTTCTACAATGACATTTCTCATAGGAGCGTAATGAATGTACAATTCATCTGCCCCAAAGCCATCCATTATTAAGGCCTTTCAGCTTCAGATGTTCACTTAGTATTATTCTTTTATATTGTCTTGGGTTAAAGTGAGGTGCTGTTCTCTTGAAATTGGGTTTGATTTCCTAAAACCGCAGCATGTTGCATTTCAAATGATTGTTGTTATACGCTCTGCTTAAAAGTGACTGTTTTTCTTTCTTTTCCAGGGGTGGCTGAATGCTTTCTCTTCTTGGGAACTGGTGAACAAGTGAGGTGTGAGAAGCTATGAAGTAAAAAGTTGCTGAACACTTTGTGGGTTCTTTTTCCTTTCCTCCGCCCTAAAAGGTTTTCTTTCTGTTTCCAAATTAAAATAATTTCAAAATCAACATTTTTTTTTCATGACAGACATTTAACAAGTTTTAGTAACAGATTATGCCTGGTTTTAAAATTTTCAAGTCTTTGGTTTGAAGAAAAATTAAGATAACTGCTGAAGCATTGTAAATTCACATGCTTTTCTTCCTGAGACTGTTTGGACTGTAACAAAATGCCTGAAGCTGGGTAATTTGTAGGCAGTAGATGAATATTGCACATTCTGGAGGCTGTGGAGTCCAAGTGCCAGCAGATGCAGGGCTGCTGAGAACGTGGTGGTCTTGCTTCATAGAGTGACCTTCGGTGCTCAGTATGGCTGAATGACAAACACCTTTAATAGAGGTTGTAATCCTACCTACAGGGAGGACCCTTGTGAATTAATCACATCCTACAGACCTGACCTCAGTACTGTGTATTGGAGCTTACATTTCCATGTGAATTTTGGAGTGACAAGTTAGGATCATAGGTAGCAGCTTCTGACAGATGTGTTGGTATAGTAGAAACAAAGCAATAAAAGGATGGGGAAGATAGTGAACATACTACTTTTGAGGTAGGATAGTAATTTTGTTCATATAACACTCAAATTGTAAACAGATAATCATGTACAAGTTTCTATGATTCTTGAAACAGCTGAAAATCATGGTTAAAGTCTGGAAGTGAGGTTCTTCACCAGCATGTATAACTCGTCACACCTCCATGAACAGTGGCGTTCTGAGTTTATTGATTTTTTTTGAATTCTGGTTTTTGGTTTTTCACTGCTCATCTGCACACATGGTTAATCACTCATGACTGACAGTTACTAAGGTAGCAGATACTTTAAGTGTCTGTTTTGTGTTGTTAGTATCATGGCACATATTGTGTAGCTTATTAAAAACTATTAGAATTCAAAGACTGGGAATTGCAGTGTTCAGTCCCAGCATCTAGTAAGGGTGTTGTTGCAGTCTTATCCTTTGATAGTGACTGAGAGTGCAGGAAGTGGTAGATTGACAGCCTCGGTCTCTTTTGTAATTATCCCTCATCAGTTTATGAGAAGGAAGACTTCATGATTCAAACACCTGTCATTGGGCCTTGCCACTGAACACTAGCCCTGGAGATTAAGCTTTTAACATGTTTTCTGGGAACACAGTCAAGCCATGGGAAATTATCCAATCCTTCCCTTTTGGATCCTTGATTTATTTTCATTGTGGTTGTAACTGATAGTCTCATTTTGGACTGTTCACAGTGTTTTGAATATGGCGCAAGGGGCACCTTGGAAGGGACCCGTGACTGGTGAGGGACAGGTTAATCATCAGGCAGAGCTTACATGGGAAGGAAGTTATATTGGAGAAGGGAAGGGATTAAGGGACTCTGAAGAAGTTGGTTCTAATGCCAGTAAAGGAATGGACTTGCTAGTGAGATGAAAGCAAGCAACCAGCAAAAACTTCCTTCTTCCGTGTCTTAGATAGGCTTCCAGCAGGCGTGGCCCGGATTAGAGGTAAATTTTCACCAGCTCAAAAGATCTGGATTAAAGGCTTATCTTCCTTCTTTAAGATCAGAATTAGAAGTAGGTCTTCCCACTTAAATCAAGCAAAAAAATCCCTCACAGTTTTGCCCCTTTTAGGGTTTTAGTATTAGAAGGGGAATCCTTGTCTTTTCTGGCCATAATATAGTTTCCAAGAAGTGCCACGCACTTCACAACATGGTCTGCATTCTCACACTGCTAAGCTTTGCTGGGCTTCTAGCCTGCTGTGCCTTCTCCCTCCTTTCCGGTGATAGTTCCCCAGCAAAGGCCCCCAGTAACTGGGTCTGTTTCAGATGCAAGTGCATTTATCACAGTTCCTGTAAGGATGACTCTCATTTAAGGATGACTCATGTCTGCTTGGCCTGCATGCTCAGAAGTGTCCTCATACTTTTTGTGGCAGTTTCACTGTCTTGTTTTTTGTATATGATGAGAGATAGGGTTCTTGTTTCATTCTTCAGCATTGTTCATATGGTGTTTTGTCAGAACATTTGTAGAAGAATTTGTTTTCCCCTCCAATATTTGTCAGTAATTAAGAGATTATGGTTATAGGTCTGGTTCTGAATTCTGTATTCTCCTTCATTGACCTATTTGATTGCTTTTGTTTCATACCATGCTGATTTTGGTACTAAGACTCTATAGTACATTGTAAAATCAAGTGTGATACCTCTCATAGTTATCCTCCCACCCCCCAAGATTATTTTGGCTATTTGGGAGTATGTTTTCATTTCTTTTTTATTTCTGTGATAAAACACTATGACCAAGTCAATTTATAGAGGAGTTTTACTGGGCATGTTGTTCCAGAGACTGGAGTCTATGATGGTGGAATGAAAGCATAACTGGGAGCTCACATCTTCATCCACATGCGAGGAGGAAGAAGCATACCTAAAGTTCAGCAACTTTGACACCAACAAAGCCACACCTAATCTTTCCCAGATAGTTCTAACAAGTAGGGGCCCAGTACAAAGACAGGAGCCTATGGAAGCCATTCTTCAAACCACCACATTCCAGTCCCAAGCCCCCATCATTTAAAATGCATTTAATTCAACACCAAAGGTTTCCCTCAGTTTCTCACAGTTTCAACATCAAAACAATGATTTTGTTTTTAATAACCAAAGTATAAATTTCTTCTGAGACTCAAGGCAGTCTCTTAATTGTAATTGCCTGTCAAATCAAAAAGCAAAGTACCTTTTCTCTTATAAGTACTGCCTTGGTCATAATGTTTCTTCACAGCAATAATTGACTAAAATAATTACATAGCTTTGGCTATCTTGGAATTCACTCACTCAGAGCTCACTTTCCTGTGCTGGAATTAAAAGTGTGCACCACCATGCCCAACCATTCAACTATTCTGATATCCCTAGAATTCGGCCCACTTAATCATTATAAATTAATTTTTTTTGATAATCGTGAATTCTTGCCAGGTTTTTAATTGAGAAATTTTGTGTCATTGTTTATCAGATTTATGTGTGTGTTTAATCTGTTTTTTTTTTTTTTTTTTGGTTTTTACGAGACGGTTTCTCTATATTGTTTTGGAGGCTGTCGGTCCAGCCTGGCCTCAAACTCTTAATCTGGTTTTAGTATGGGAGTATACTGGTAAGTCTTAGTATTCCTTTGCTTTCTGTTTCCTGGAGTAGTTTGAGGCACTGAGAGCAGGTTATCATTAAAGCTTTGGTAGAATTCAACAGGGAGCCTGTCTGTCATGGAGTGTTTTCAGTTAGGAGACTGTTACTACTTGAGTCTCATTAAGTGTTGCAGATTGGTTAAGTTGTTAATGTCTTTTTAATTTATTCTTTGTAAGTCAAATTTGAATAATTTATAAAACTTTTTCAATGTATTGAAATACAGATTTAGCCAGGTGGTGGTGGCACATGCCTTTAATCCCAGCACTCAGGAGGCAGCGGCAGGCAGATCTCTGTGAGTTCAAGGCCAGTCTGGTCTAGAGAGTGAATTCCAGGACAGGCTCCAAAGCTGACAAAGAAACCCTGTCTTGAAAAACCAAAAAGAAGAAACAAAGAAAGAAAAATAAAGATTAAGGTGTGTCCTGATGGTGTGAGTTTCATAGAGAGCTATTCTGTATCAAATTTTATGAATTTAGGTCTTTTCTTTTGATTAGCTAAGTGTTTTGTCAGTTTTTTAATTTTTTTCCAATTTCTTTAATGATCCCTGCATCAATCAGTAAATATATATTCCATAGGATTCAGAGTCCTCACATTCACTAGAGTCCTCCCACACATTTCCATCCCAAGTTATGGGATCCCATTGTTTTATAATTAATGCCCTACTTTAACTGTCTAGGTTGGAACTAAACCTTCACAGTAATTCAGCCAGCCTCATAATGCGGTTTTCGTTTGATTTTCCACAACTGGAGCTCTTTGGCTTTTGGAGAGGAGAGTCTCTTCCAGGACACACTTGGAAACTTTTAGGCTATTTTTATATACATCTGGAATCAGTCAGTTTTATCACTGAGTTCATTGTCTTTCACCATGTTCTGAGATCCTAGAAGTTGGTTAATTTTATCACAGATCTTTTATTCTTTTCCCTTTTCAATTTTTCTAGAGATGTTAGAAGCAACCAATCAGCATCATCATTTTCCTACAAATTACCAATAGGTTATGTACAGTCACTAAATCTTTTGTCTTTTGCAATCAGTCAAGATAATCAAATGCATTTGTCTCCTTGAGTTCATAAAATGGTTTATACCATGTTTTTTCAGTACTCTTCAGGCTTCTAGAAGTTTCATTAACTAACGGGAGAGGATTCAGTACCTGTCAGTGTTGGCAAATTGGAAAGCCTATTCTAGATACTTAAATTCATCTTTATATTTCTGTTGCTCAAAAACTACTTCTGGTACCAATATCTTCATTGACAGAGTTCTCTGGAGGAACAGACCTGCTCATACAACTTTGCTTGATAAACTTCCCATTTTTCATGTCTTGTCTTTCTTACTTTAGACCTAAATAAGCTGTTGCCATGCTGTAGCCTGCACACTGTACTGTCTTGAAGTTCCCTCTGCCATATAGGTTAGTACATTATATATATAGTACATAACTGAGCCTCACTATATTTCTCCAGACAGGCAGAATATAGCTGGATAATTTACCAGAGTCTATATAGCCCAAAGGCACAATTCTTTATAGAGGTCTTGTTGCCCTTTTAAACCTCATTCCCATGTCCTTTGCTAGCTACATGTCATTCAGTATTCTTGTCTTCCAACCTTCCACCAGAATGGATCATTTAACTCTGCTTATGGTATTTTTACTATAAATATTTTAAGTGGTTTTAGAGCCCAGTGTTCTAAACTCTTACATATTTCTCCTTCAAACCCATTCCAAAAACTTTAGACCATCTAGTTAGGTTTGCTACAGACCAGCCCATTGTTGGAACCAACTTTTGCATTAATTTGGGCTGGTACCACTTTTGCATTAGATTGCATTGCTTTATAATTTAGTTTCTTGTCTCATGTTAAAATACTTGAACAAAGCAATGTAGGGAATGAAGGATTATTTTGGCACACCA